TTACTTTTGGGTAGAAAGCGAGTGCAAAATTCCATGCGAATTGCACACCAGTAAATGAAAACTACTTTGACCCGCTTTACCTACTGTTGGGTTCCTGCACTATAGTGCCGAGATGAGTGAAAAGAACTTAATTTTGGGCACTTTTTTCTTAGCGTGTGGGAATCAAGATTCGATACGACAGGATGACAGGAACTCTATCATTAGGTCGTATGAATAAAAGCGTTTACTATACTTTTCCCGTAAGAAAAGCACGGGAAAGTAAAGTAAACTCTTTTTATTCATACGGCCCATTGTCTCATGAGACCAAGTTTGGAATGTTCAACTGCAATTTCGTCAAAACACCAATGGAGAAGGATTGTCTGCTGAAAGTTCAAGCACATACCGAGAGTTAGTGGGAAGTATCATGTACGCAATGCTATGTGTTTGTTCGGATATTAACTACTCGATAGGATACCTAGTTAATAGTAGAATCCAGGAGATTCCCATTGGCAAACTTTGAAGAGAATCGCTCGCTACTTAAAAGGCACAAAGGACATGAAGCTTCTATACACCAAGAAGGATATGCACTAGTGAGATTTGCCGACGCGGATTGGGCTTCAGATGCTGGAAAATATCCATGTGAATTTCACATAACTTTCATGTGATCTCATAATTGTAAATTGCACCACTAAATCACATGAACGTTAAGTTTCCAATGAAATCTATATGATTTCTCATCTAGAATTTCTTATGCGATGAGATATTCAGATAACAATCATTATTTTTTTATTGGAAAAATGTTATGTGCATTCCTAATAGAAACTAAGTGAAAACTTTTTTCAGTGTAGAGGTGTCAATACCACTAGTAATTAGGGGAAGAAGGGGCATAGTGGGCTTCGTGATAAAATCACAGACAAACAGACATAACACTGGCAATTTGTTCATCGAGCACACATTTAACGGTCAATGTTTTTAGTTGGTAGTACCGCCACCTGTGGCGCGCATAGTCAATAACCCTTGCGTTTGTCGTTTACACACTATCGCCATCTGTTCAGCGTACTACCCACACAGTATACTCAACAGATGGCAGTTGTGTTTTAGCGCGACGATGCCTTGGATTTCTCAAAATGATAAAATCACAGACAAACAGACATAACACTGGCAATTTGTTCATCGAACACACATTTAACGGTCAATGTTTTTAGTTGGTAGTACTGCCACCTGTGGCGCGCATAGTCAAAACCCTTGCGTTTGTCGTTTACACACTATCGCCATCTGTTCAGCGTACTACCCACACAGTATACTCAACAGATGGCGGTTGTGTTTTACGCGACGATGTTTTATATTGAAAAATATTCAATGTGTTATGTCTGTTTTTCTATGATAAAATTATGGTGTTCACTATGCCCCTCCTTCCCCTACACGGTAACCGCAAAATTAACAATAATGACTTCAAAGCTTTAGGTTATTCTCTGATAGATGACCCAGTCTTCTAGGCACCCGTTTTTGATTTGGTTGAAAAATAAAAATTTGGCGACGTTTTGAAAAAAACAGTCCGTTTTTGTACCCTAAAATTGGAGATAAAAGCTTGCACCAAAAATCCATTTTTGATTCTTTTTTTCAAAAGATTTACCAGACTGGAAAATCGGCTACGTACAAGACTAGAAAAAAAGGTACTTAACTCGAAAATTAAATCGCCGTTTAAATCGAATGAGCCGTTTCTAAAATACAGCGCCCGCCAATTTTGAAAACATCGTTTAGAGATAATCGCGGCAGCAGTTGGAACTACTAAGACACGCCGTTTCGCCGGTAACGGGCGGGTACTCCGAGCGCTCACCTGAGCGCGCTTGGAGCGTCTGGACACGAGTCCACTAATCGGCCTATAACTTTGGAACGATGTCACTTGTGGACTTGTGGTCAAGTCTATGTCAAAGTAGACATTCCAAAGTATTTTTTAAGCCAAAAAATAAAAAAGATTTTTTGAAATTTCCAGACTGGACTACCCCCTTAAATGAGTAATATTGTTACTCATTAACGACTATCTGTTATCCATTAATGAGTAACTGTTACTCACTAGTGGGTAACAGATACTCATTATTGGGTAAATTTATTACTCATTAATAAGTTAAGCCACTTTTTTTCAAAATGGGTCTTTTTCTACTCATTAATGGGTACTTTAAAGTTATCGCGTAACCCATTTAATGGGTAAAAAAATTACCCAATTAAATTAAATTATTGCACATTAGTGGGTAAACGTTACTCATTAATGGGTAAATTTTTCACCAATTTAATGGGTTAACCTACTTTATCTCAAAATGGATGAAATTGTACTGATTAATGTGTACTATAATGTTAGAGTGTACGTTGTCGTTTTGTTATGTATGGAGCGTTTTACACGCTAACTTGAAAGTACTCATTAATGAGTAAAAAAAGAACCATTTTGAAGAAAAGTGGCTTAACTCATTAATGATTAAACAATTTTACCAATTAATGGCTATTCCGTTGGTTGGAAGTTATAAAGATCGCCATATAGAAATTGAGAGAAGTGGGAATAATTCGCTTTCGGTACATATTTAGGTCAAAAAAAGTGAACGACAACCTAAAAAAATTAATCAGGGACTTTGTCGTTCAGTTTGTTCCGGGAAATTATTGTTAAACAAGCTACAATTAAATAAAAATGTTTTTTCTCCATACAGTTTTACCTGTTTGACTACCAGTTCCCAGAGAGTCAAAAAATTCAAATTTGAGAGAGAAAATTTACTCTCACGACCTTAATCTCTCAACATGCCATGTATTTTGTTGACACTCGATTTGTGATTTCCCTTTCGCAGATTACAAAATAGAGTACCTGACACTACAAAACATGTCTGGTACCTCTATATATGCATTTACTTTAACATTTGAAGTCCCTCCTTTTTAACATATTATGCGCAAAAGATACTTTATGCCCCGCCCCATTCATAAAAATCGACGGGAAATTCTGTGAGGGGTGAGCTATTTTGTGTGCAGAATGTGTAAAAAAGGAGGGACTTCGAATAATAATCTAAATGCATATATAGAGGTACCAGATATGTTTTGCACTGCAGGAATTCCCTGCAAGAAAGTTCAAAAAAAAAAAAAAAATGTTTTGCACTGCAGTGTCATCTGTGAACATGAATGCAGAAGCTTGACAAAATGATTAATTCAAAACAAATTAATTGGTCAATTAGAAATTTGGGACTGGAGTGCGGGATGCTCATTATGTCACACCTGTTCACTATGCCCTTGTTACCACTAATGCATAAAGAATTCATTTCAGGGCTGGACATTAATTGCGCATAAAGGTTAAGTCAAAGTCATAATTGAGTTTGCTGTATTACCTATAGGAATTCCCATGATTCCCATCATCTGAAAGAGCTTTGTTTTCTGAGACCAACGATATTTTTTCGAACTTTTGGACCCATCTCGATTTTTAAATGAAGATTTAAAGCAAAATAATAGCTTCACTGTTTGACAGTAAACTAACAAATTGATAGCGCGCTCCCACACAAATTCCCACCAAGGGACGCTAAGATGGTAATTTTGCTAATGTAATTGCACTTATTTAAAATAATAAAAGAACTCCTCAGTATTCGCTTGCTATTCTCGTAAAATTCCCTAGAAATTATCTGAATTCCACACAGAATTCTCTTGGAGTGGTCCCGTAAATTTCATGAAATGCTCCTTAGAATTCCTCTTTTTTGAGTTCTCTAAAAATTATTACAGGAATAGTCTTGAATCTTTCCTAAATATTCCTTTAAATTTACCTCAAAGCTCCGTTGGAAATTTCCTTGAAACTTTTCTTAGAATTAATTTTCTTTGCATTATTTCCAGAATTCCGGTTGGATTCCCCTTCTTCTCTTTGAATTCTACTCACAAGAAACTTGTAGTTCTCCTCCTTACAATTCTCTTCAAAATTACTTTGCAATCTTAGTCAGAATCTTGGCATCCTCCTCAGAACTCTGGAAATTTACTTTAAATCCTCCTCCTCCATAAACTGTGAAACTTTTGCAAGTTCCTCATTTAAAAAAAGATATGTTTTTTTCTTAATTATTTAAAACCTATTTTTATTAGGTCCTGGGTTTTAAAAAATGCTCTAAGTTTAAAATTTATACAAATTATCCATGTCTCAGAACCCCATCAAAAAACATTTCAAGTTTCAGCTCGTATGTTGTTCCTGGAAGTAAATCCACTAGACAATTATTATATTCAATGAGTGAAAGTGAAAAATGATTTGAAATGGTTTGGCATACACACAATGAGCATTTATGCAGCAGCTGAAGGAATATAAACGATTAGTTCTTAGAAACTACTGATAAACCTTATTTTCTGATTAAGAAATCTTACAACATTTTGAGCTAATCCAACACTTTCAGAATATCCGCACTACTAAATGATTTTTAGGGGGATGGCCAAATTATCTATTTGCTGAAACTGTCCCACTTTCCCCTAACGGCACATTGAAGTCACACGAAGCAAAAGCGATCTCGTTAGTCATTGTCAGATGCTTTGGATTAATGTTATAAAATCAATTCTAAAATTGTTTTAAAGTATTTCGGCTCCGTATAGTTTATGTTAGACAATGAAATAAAAGCCTATAAATCCGTGGTAAAATTAGGTGGAGTAAATGCTGTAATAAAAACGGTCCAGCCCGTCCTGACATGCATTACGATATTTGGCCCGCGAATAAAAAACTTTGGGCAGGCCTGATCTAAATGGAACCAATATTCAATACGCAAAATTATAAATTTCATGAAATTGCTAACATCGTTTACCTTTTATCGACAAATTTCGATTCAACGACTATAAATTTGGCAAATAGAGCCAGGTTCAAATTGATCGTCCGTATTCCCGTTCAATCCATTCAAATCCATGCTACATCAATTTCTCTATTAATTCATCGGAAATAAAGTTTCACATTCATGGTTTTAACACTTTAAGTTTATCAACAAACTATACATTTCTATACCTGCGTTCACAAGATTATTTGCCCTATGCACTATACAGGCGCTCAGGATACATTAGTGAGTTACTGAGTGAATCACAAGATAATCTTATATCTACCGATTATTCCCCGACTGTTCACCAGTCTCTGCTTTCTGTTCTTTCTTCAAACTATCATAAACCTCCCTGATCTCCTTCAGCAATTGCGAGATGTTCGTCCCCATCTTGGCACTGATCGGTATCACCGGCACATCAACGTGATGCTGAAGCAACTGCAAATTCTTCTCCGCTTCCGGAAGGTCGATCTTGTTAGCAATGATCATCTTTGGCCTGTTGGCAAGTTCCTCACTGAACATAGTCAATTCGTGCATTAGAGTGTGGTAGTGGTTCCACGGTTCCTCCAACGATACATCCACAACAAACAGCAGAACATTGCAACGTTCCACGTGCTTGAGGAACTGAATGCCAAGGCCTTTGTTTTTGTGCGAGTCTGGAATCAAACCGGGTAAATCAGCAACCGCAATCTGTTCGTAGTCATCGTACTGGACCATTCCGAGGTGAGGTTTTAACGTGGTGAAGGGATACGAAGCTACTTTGGGCCGTGCCCGGGAGATTGCTCTGAGCAGAGTACTTTTTCCCGCGTTTGGCAGTCCAATGAATCCCACGTGGGCCATGCTTTTCAATTCTAGAACGTAGGATTTGTCTTCTCCTTGTCCTCCGAACTCCGCCACCTGGGGAGCATGTTCCAGGTCACTTATGAAGAAATGGTTTCCCTTTCCTCCAGCACCGCCTCGTGCAGTGACAAACATCGTTCCTTCGGTGTCCAGATCGCCAACGACTTTACCGGTGGCGGTTTTAACGATCGTCCCCAGAGGCACTTTCACCACCGTGTGGCTGGCATTCTTCCCGTGGCAATCCTTGTTCCGCCCGTTGTCTCCACCGTCCGCCGAGAGCAATGTCGTCACGTGGTTCAAATCACGCACATCCGAGCTGGCCTGCAGTACGACGTGCCCACCATTTCCTCCGTCGCCGCCATCGGGACCGGCATTTTCGTTGCACCAAAGCCGCAGGAACGAGACGCACCCGTCGCCACCCTTGCCACCGACCGTGCGGACGTGTTTGCAGTCTACGAAGTATTGGGTCTGCGGATGGAAATGGCTAGCTTGAAAAAGGCCGTTGGATCGAAGAATAAAAACTTACGGTTGGTTTATCGGATTTGGCCTTTTTGCTGCGCAGGGCAATCGCTACGCGCTGGGAGGAAAAGTTTGCATTTTCCAGCAGAAGAACCGACGTCGGCCGAACCGGTATTCGACGGGATAGGTATCTTAGCAGGGAAGGAATCATTTCACGGATACACTCAAATTCACCGGAAAAATCGAAAAAATTAACCGGATTTTGATTTTCAGCACATAACACGCGAATGGATTACAAAACAATTCTGTGTTTACATTTTGATCGACGGAGCACAACCGGCAAGATGCACTTTTATATAGTGGGAAGTAAAGAATTCATAATTGGTCAAAAAAATGATAACTAAATTTGACATTTTCTCAGCATAATTTGTAAATTTAAGTAAAACATAATATCAACAATGATATTTTCAACGTTAAAATTTTCATTTTTCCCATAATGGTAATAATACAATTCTCTCTTCCCACATAAATGCGAACCATAACTTGATCTTACCGAAAATAGTTAAAAATTGTTTATAATACCTGCTAAGCTTTAACTGAAATGGTTATGGAACTTTACATGATCGTTTGCGTGATAAAGTTTTAACCGTATGTATTATGTTTTTTTGGAAGTGAACCTTACAAATAATGGGTTGTTAAGAACCATTACCATTCAAAATTCTTGTTTTCTCCATAAATTTTCGGAAAAAAAACTATATTAGAACCTTTTACTCATGGGTTGAGAATGTTAATGGTTTGTTTGTTTTTTTGTTGGTCTATTATCGACCTTTAAACTTTTTAGGTCATTTGGGTCGTAATGTCAATGGTAATGGTTATGTTAGTCAGTAAGGTCCATGAATGGTTTTGTATTGTCGGTGAACTTTACGTGCAATATATCGTGAATTGGTAATCATTAATTTACAAGCAACCGCGATGTATTCCACATAAAGTTTATCGAAATAAAACCATCCATTGACCTTACTGACTACCATAACCATTTTGATGTTACTTCTCAAATTAAAAATAAAAAGGTTTTGATATATTTCCTTTTCCGAAAATGTATGGACAAAATCAGAATTTGAAATGATAATGGCTCTTAACAATCCATTATTTTTAAAATCCACTTCCAAAAAACCATAATACATAAGGTTAAAACTTTATCACATAAACGTTCATATAAAGTTCCACAACCGTTCCACATAAAGTTTAGCTGGGATTATAAATTTTTTTTTATCAATTTTTGGTAAGGTCAAGCAATATAAACGGAGTGCGTTTGCAGAACTTCTACTTCCTACCCCTCACAAAACATTCAGACGTTTGCCACTTTGACAGTAAAGTGCATCCGAGAGATTTGTGCATCTGCGAAAAAAAAACATTCGCGACCACGGCAAAAACGCAATCTGTCAAACTCTGCCATTCGTCTTCAGGGTACGTAACCGTGTGGATTGCTTTTTTTCTGTGTTCGTTCGGCGGACTGCGGGGCAGAAAAGAAAAATTGCACCAGTAGAGTGTGCGGTGGCAAGAGAAAGGCAATTCCTCCGTGTGACAGAAAATAAAAACGTGGATTAAAAGTTGCTGGGTTTACTGGTTTAGATCTGACTGAAGGACTATTTTGCGTCTGTCTTTTTTAAGAAGCAGAACACTGTTAGTACAGGTAAGTGACCTAACCACCCCCTTGTTATGATCCGGGGCTGAATCCCCGTCGTGGCGGTGGCGGATGATGAAATTAGAATGCAAGACTTGCTCTAGCTGCAATGTGAGTAATACAGCTCTGCAGTGTTTGGAGGGGATGGGGTAAAGTGCCACATATTATTGCGAGCTAAGCGATTGGCGAAAGTGAAAGCTAAACCAGTTGTGTTTTGCAGGACGAGAAAATGGACACCTCACTGACGGCGAAGCAGATCCGGAACATTTTCCTGGACTTTTTCAAGGAGAAGCAGCATCTCTATGTGCACTCTTCGTCGACGATTCCAATGGACGATCCGACGCTGTTGTTTGCCAACGCCGGAATGAACCAATTCAAGCCAATCTTCCTGGGAACGGTCGAGCCGAACAGCGACATGGCCAAGTGGGTTCGTACGGCCAATACCCAGAAGTGCATCCGTGCCGGTGGCAAGCACAACGATCTGGATGACGTCGGAAAGGACGTGTACCATCATACGTTCTTTGAGATGTTGGGAAATTGGTCCTTTGGAGATTACTTCAAGAAGGAGATCTGTACCTGGGCTTGGGAGCTGCTGACGGAAAGGTTGAAACTCCCGAAGGATCGGTTGTATGTGACTTACTTTGGAGGACATCCGGAGTCCGGTTTGGAACCGGATTTGGAGTGTCGTGAGTTGTGGTTGAAGTTGGGCGTAAAGGAAGAGCATATCCTTCCCGGAAGCATGAAGGACAATTTCTGGGAGATGGGGGAGACGGGTCCGTGCGGTCCTTGCTCGGAGTTGCACTTTGACCGAATTGGAGGTCGAAGCGTACCGGAGTTGGTCAATATGGACGATCCGGACGTGTTGGAAATCTGGAACTTGGTGTTCATTCAGTTCAATCGCGAGCAGGACGGATCCTTAAAGTCACTCCCGAAAAAACACATTGATTGTGGCATGGGATACGAACGTCTCGTATCAGTTATCCAGGACAAGCGGTCAAACTACGATACGGATGTATTTGTACCGTTGTTTGAGGCTATTCAGAAAGGAACTGGAGCTCCTGATTATCAAGGACGCGTTGGAACTGCCGATGTGGATGGCGTTGACATGGCCTATCGAGTCCTGGCAGACCATGCTCGTACTATCACGATTGCGCTCGCTGACGGTGGTTTCCCGGACAATACCGGTCGAGGTTATGTGCTGCGAAGAATTCTCCGCCGTGCAGTCCGCTATGCCACCGAGAAACTTAACGCCAAGCCTGGCTTCTTCGCTACGCTAGTAGACACGGTCGTACTCTTGCTTGGAGACACCTTCCCGGAAGTCAAGAAAGATCCCCAACACATCAAGAACATCATCAACGAAGAGGAGCAACAATTCTTGAAGACATTGACTCGCGGACGAAACCTCCTGAACCGAACTATTGCCAAGCTGGGTGACAGCAAGGTCATCCCTGGAGACGTCGCTTGGCGACTGTACGATACCTACGGTTTCCCGATTGATCTGACCCAACTGATGGCCGAGGAGAAGAACATGACCATCGATATGGAGGGCTATGAGAAGGCCAAGCACCAGTCGTACATTCTGTCCCAAGGCAAGGAGAAATCCAAAGTTGCCACAGTGGATCTGGATGTGCATGCCATCTCCGAGTTGCAGGAGAAGAAGGTTCCGACGACGGACGATTCTTTCAAGTACCTATACCAAGCCGATACTGATCCAATGGCAGAGTACAAGTTTGAATCGTGCAATGGAAAGGTCCTGGCATTGCGCGCCAATAACGCTTTCGTGGACGAAGTTCAAGCTGGACAGGAGTGCGCCGTGATTCTGGACAAGACCAACTTCTACGCCGAAAGTGGTGGCCAGATCTACGATCAAGGCTATTTGGTCAAGGTAATTTTGATTAATGACAATCTTTCCCTAGCAACTTTTGACCCTCATTCCCCATTTTACAGGTCAACGATGAAAGCACGGAATTCAACGTCAATCTGACATACAACCGTGGAGGATACATCCTGCACATTGGTGTCGTGGAAGGAACGCTGCGCGTTGGCGATGAAGTCGCCTGCCACATGGACACGGTCCGTCGTCAGCTCACGATGAAGAACCACTCGGCCACGCACGCCCTCAATCATTCCCTACTGAAGGTTCTCGGCCAGGACACGGATCAGCGTGGTTCATTGGTCGTTCCGGAGAAGCTGCGCTTCGATTTCACCACCAAATCCGCCATGACCATCGAACAGGTCGCCGAAGCGGAACGTCTCACCCGCGAGGTTGTCAAGAAGAACATGCAAGTCTACGCGAAGGAATCCAAACTGTCCGTTGCCAAGAGCATCAAGGGCCTCCGATCGGTTTTCGACGAAGTCTACCCGGATCCGGTGCGTGTAATTTCGTTCGGTGTTCCGGTCGAAACCCTGGCAGCCAACCCGAACGGTGAGGAAGGAGTTGAAACCTCCGTTGAATTTTGCGGCGGCACTCATCTGCATCAATCCGGTCACATGTGGGATTTTGTCATCACCACCGAAGAAGCCATCGCTAAGGGAATCCGTCGCATTGTCGCCCTGACCGGACCCGAAGCTTTGAAGGCACTCAAGAAAACCGAACTGCTCGAAACTGAATTGAATGCTCTAAAAGCCACCATCGATGCCGATAAAACTGGCAAAGACTCCAAGGAGCACGTCAAGAAGATCGTCGAACTAAACGAAGACGTCTCGCAAGCTGTCATTCCCTACGTCAAGAAGGACGAAATCCGGAACGTTCTCAAATCACTCAAGAAAGCTCTGGACGACAAGGAACGTGCCGTAAGGGCTGCCCTCTCGACAACGGTCGTAGAGAAGGCCAAGGAACTATCCGAAGCCAATAAGGATGCTTTGTTCCTCGTCCATCGAATGGACGCTTACAACAACACCAAGGCACTGGATTCCGCCCTGAAGGAAGTCCGCAAAATCAACCCCGAACAGTCGGCACTGTTCGTTTCATCCGATCCGGATTCGAAGAAGATCTTTTGTCTAGCTTCGGTTCCGAAGTCGGCCGTCGAGAAAGGACTGAAGGCAAACGAGTGGATTTCGCACATTTCTCCGAAGATGGGCGGAAAAGGCGGTGGCAAACCGGAATCAGCTCAAGCTTCCGGTGGGAACTTTGACAAGGTGGAAGAGATTCTGGAACTGGCACGGCAGTTTGCTGCTTCCAAGCTGTCCTAAAGCATGGAACAGGAATGAACCTACCGGAAGTGCATTTTTTCAATTGTAACAGTTTGGATATCGAATTAAGTTGCTTAAATTATACTTTCCATACTTAAAATCACCGATGCTAAGATCAGCTTTTAAAATAAATTTAACTGAAAGCTAGCTGTTTTGGGCAAATTTGTGTGGCATTTCTCATCCGAACGAAAACATAAATCAACGCTCATACAATTTACAGAAAACCTTATTTATTTAGTCCTATCGATAACCTTAAGCCGATATCTCGGTTAAACGTATAAAATAGTTCAATATTACCACCGTATGAATTTCCTTTCTTTCTTTCTCGCTCTCTCCATCGCTCACTCTAACACCCTAGGCGTCCTCCGCCGTCGGAAGCCAGAAAGCCATGTTGGTGCAGGCCGAGGCCAACATCATGAACTTGGGATTGAACTGGACGCACTGAATAGGGCCGGGATGATCTCCGTTGAGTACGCATATTTTGTACCCAGTATCTGCGTTCCACACATGCACCCGTCCGTCGGTGCTGCCAGAAAATATGAACTGCGAATCCGGACTGAACGATGCTTCAATCGGAATGCCCTTGTTGTTCAAGTGACCTACAAGGAAACAAACAAAACATCACACTTCCAATCATTAGGACCGGATCTCTCGCCCGTTACTCACCTGTGAATGTTTGCAGCGGTGTACCGTGGAAGGCATCGATCAACCGGATGATCGATCCATTCGTACTGATCAGAATGGTTTTGCCATCACGCGAGAACTTCAGCCCGGTCCAATCGCATTCCTTCTCCTGGTTCAGCTTGAACGTCACGAACGGTCCCTTATCGAACGACCGCAAATCGTACAGCTTGATACTCTCCGAGTTCACTCCGGCCGCGAAAATCAATCCTTCCGGGTCGTACGCCGCAACGGGACGGCCATTCAGGTGCATTACCCCCTGGCAGTTGGGTGACCGCAGGTCCCACAAACGCAGCGTCTTATCCAGCGATCCTGACAGGAAAGTGTCCTCCACCGGTGAAATGTTCAACGAAATGACCTTTTTCGTATGTCCGGGGAAGTATCGTAGGTACTTATTGTCGTGTAAACTCAGGTACCGGATCGTATCGTCCACCTTGGTCGAGCTGTGAATCGCGGTGTTGTTGGCGTGGGTAAAGTGAATCAAATCCACGCCGTACTTTTTCGAGTTGACCGTCCGGATCTGGGTTCCCTTTTCACAATCGTACAGCACAATCTGGTCGTCTTCGCTGCAACTGATCAACATCTCCCCATTGGAAGAGTAATCGATTGCGTTGATTTTGTCGGTGTTCTCGCGGAACACTTTGGCCACTTTGAAGCTTCGAACGACCGAGTCGATCAGCTTCATTTTTACGACGGCAGTCAGTTTGACGGCTGTTGGGGTTGGTCCTCACACACGGAGGACGCACTGGTCACACAGAAAAAGGAATAAAACACTTTTTCACGGAAAATACCGGGAAAATTAAGGATTTTGTAACCACGCACTGCTTTTATGTTTGGATTCGCACGTAGTGGCGTTCAAAATTTTCTCTAACGATGCGGCAGAGACGTCAAAAAGGAACGCACGCTATTTCAAAATCCACCCAAATTTGGGTAGAATCTATCCAGATTGGTCAATACTGAACCTACCCAAAAATGGGTATACTATATTGGGAGCTCGGTTGGGAGTGACAACTTGACAAATGAACAACATCGACATGAATCCGATCGGCTTTGTTCATTTGTCAACTTATCTCTCCCAACATAGTTTACTCATTTTTGTAGGTTCAGTTTTGACCGATCTTGGTGGATTCTACCCAAATTTGGGAATTTAAAATAGCGTATACGCCATCGCCATCGAAACGTCTGAATCAGACAATTCAGACCCAGGAACAGGAAACTAGTAGAAAACTCGAGAGCGAAATCCGTTTTAAGGTAGGTATGTACCAATATGTTAAGACAACACAGCAAAAAAAAAGTAATATTTATCGATCAACTTAATTAGCCGGCGCCGGTGGTGTAGTGGTAAAAGCGTGACCTAATCACTGACGGACATCGACTGTCATCCATTGACGGCAATTGAATGTGCAGGAAGGCAGTTACCACACCTGCATAGGATATCGTACCCATTCAAACACACATGGGCCGGGACCAACGACTTTACTTCCCTTCCGAAGGAAGACGTGACCAGAGATTTTTATGCCTCAGAAAAATCCCTCCGACCTCGGCTGGGATTGAACCCAGACTCATTGGGGTGAGAAAGATCATCCGCAAAAGCAAACCAACATAATGAAAAGGTAGGGGAAATTCTCCTCTAGCCGATTGTGGTTTAGGTTTGCGGATGAAGAATTTGGTTCGCGAGAAACTGGCCTTACAAGGTTTGTTTACAAAATGGAGTTAAGGCCATTTCAATTGTGGTCTTGATCTGATGGTAGTGTTAGCATGCGTTGGCGAGCTACCACACACAAAGAACAAAAATTGTTGCAATAAAAATAATGCATTTTCAAATTAAAAGTTTCGCAAATTTCGTAGTTTCAACTACGAAAATATTCAAATGAAAAGTTATTGTTTTGTTTTGAAAGTGTTTCTTTTACTCTCGACTCGTTATTTTAAAAGCGCATTCTTTTAAAATAAAAGTTAATCAACTTTCAAAAATACCTTTTCATAGCGATGTTTTTGGCAACACTTGACCTCCATTTGGCGCTAAATTTGAGTTGACGTCGATTGATGGAGGAATGGTTTTGGCTTGCTTCCATATGAGTTTTTTGAGTGTGGTAATTGATTCCACGGTAAGTTTAATAAACTACGAAATCATAATTGATGATGATGAATCTATGTATGAAACGTAACCAATAATTTCATCTCCACAGATCAACGTATTTAACTCGATATTCAAGGCACTTAGTGAAGAGCTTATTCTGATCTTGAATTTTCTCATCTTCCGTGGGAATAACCTGACGATTCCTACGGGATCAACTGACATGGTGGAAGTAGAACGGAGAATCATTGTTGCAATTCCAAATATCTAAACCACTGAAATAATGGTCAGCGGATGTTTCATCTTTCTCCTGCACACAATTCATCCACATGGAAGTGGGAACAATTTTTATTCCAAAGGGACGAATGAGTTGCACATTTTGATCGACGACGTGTAAAGGGTTCCGTACTTGACATATATATACATATATGTTGAACCCGTACTTGAATTTCAACTGCATTAGTCATACGACGACGGTTTTGAACAACCATCTACTAGCCCTGTTCGTCTTGAGAATGATACAATTAGCAATTATGGGTGATTGGAGCTATACCTGTATGCAGCTTATAGATTTATGTAAGTATTTACAAGAGATAACTAAAGGTTTCCAATATTGATTTCTATCTTTCTCATTTGCAGTCTAAATACCCGGAACAGGTACCAGTTGCAGGATGAAGCATCCCATCAGCTGCAGTGGAAAAATCATCGGAGAACTTCGAGCCCACAGCAGCGACGTCTTCGGAAAACGGGTAGACATAACATGAATAACATATTTATAGAATATAGTATATACTATTAAATATTATCAAGAAATTAAAAATAATATAAATAATTAAAAAAATATTATATTGAAAATGCTTGTTTTTAAATTGACAACATTTATTTTTCCTATTCAAAGTGGCACATTTTATTTACACTATATTATACTTTCATGTCAAAAGTTTGTTTGAAACACGCTGTGTTTCAATAAACTTCCGAAAATAGCTGACCAGTCCTATAAAGCGTTGTACAGCCCGTAGAGAATTCGGAAACGGAAATTCTCTGATTGCAGCAACGTGCCGATCGGATGGCTGAATCTGATTAAAAGTCACATCGTACCCCAGATATTCAATCCGAGTTTTTAGGAAATTGCATTTAGACAAATTTAGCTGCACATGATTATCGGAAAGAACACGCAACAACGTCAAGAGCACTTTAATATGTTCTTCGATTGTAGATGTAGCAATCAGTATATCGTCGAAGAAAACAATTACATATCCAGAATTAGTTCGGAAAGCATTTGGTTGATATATCTTACAAATATCTCGGGAGCATTACAATACCCGAATGGCATACGAGTGTATTCGTACTGTCCATTTTCGACTACGAACGAAAAATATTTACGTGAATCTTCATCAATTTCAACGTGGTGAAAGCCGTTTTTCAAATCCAGCGAAGTAAAATACCGTTTATCTTCAAGTTTCATAATTTGGTCCTCAATCACAGGGATTGGAAAATGATCACGCTCAAACAATTTATTCAAAGCTCGAAAATTGACACAAAGACGATAGGTGTCATTTTTCTTCTTAGTCAAAACCACCTTGCTTGAATAAGGAGAGTTACTTTCCCTTATCACACCAGAATTCAAAAGTTCATTGATCATCTTATCAAGCCAGTCGCTGAGGTGAAGCATGATAGACTTTATCTTCCTTCAGCTTGACTCCAAACGAATACGACACTAATGGAGACAATGGTTGAGCTCGATTTAAATATTCTGTTTTAAACAGTTTCGTTACATCCTTGATCATAGAAAATGTTTCCACGTTGTCCTAAATATCTAGACACAACTCGTCCAATAAGATCACAATCGTTTCGTATAGGTCCATAAGCTTCTGACATCAGCTGACAGTCATAATTGTTAGAAAAAGTTATCGTGGATCGAGACAGCATCTTAACTTTCTCAATGTCGTTATTTTTCAAAAATTTCCGGCCTACCAATCCATTAACATTCATCGTATTATCTGAAACCACCAAGAAATCCACCTCGTAGTTAACCGACTTGCAAATAATATTGGTTTTATAGATAAAATCTGCCATAACCGGCACATTATTCAATCCTACTATCATCAAATTGTCAAAATGCACCGAGTGCAAATTTGCCCCATGTGAAACAAATTTCTTCTTCAACAGACTCACCTCACTACCAGCATAGAGGTAACTCTAAGACTACTGGGTCCCGAAGAAAATCATTATTATTTTTGGCTCACTCAGTACCAGAACAACGGTCCCAAGCAGTCCCAAGCTATTTCACTCACCCCTGCATGTTCTGCATGAATCCACACACCCCTGATGTTATCTGTCAAACTTTCATAGCGAATCAAAACAAACATAGTGTAGTAATAGAATTTCAACTAGAATAGGGTACGTTAATCGTTTGCTTGGGACCAATAGGCTACTAAAGTGGTGAGCCAATTTAAAATCGTTAGTTTCGTATTGATTGTTGCTACCAGTGTCAAGTAGCAGTTCTGTCTCGAACTGATCTGCTACATTCGCTTGGAACCGACCGTTTTCATCAATTTCGAACTCAGCCGGTGGCCGCTCATCCGCCGTTTCTGCTAGATGTGCATATCGCTGTCGTGATTGTATCTGGTGACGCTGCTGCTGATCGTGTCCAGTCTCCTTCTGACAATGTTGAGTTAGTGCATGTTCGCATTTTGATTCGTCATGTCCAATTCGCTGACATTTCGTGCAACGGATCATTCGCTGTGGTTGAGAGCAATTAATTGACAAATGACCCATCTTGTTACAATTGAAGCATTTTCTGTTGAGGTGTAGATCGTCCATCCGTGGTGGTTGATCTGGCTGCTTTTGATTGATCCTGTTGACAATACCCACTGGTTGACGTTTACGCTTCATGTTGTTGTTCGCTTCGCACAAACGGATATGGTTGAGTAAGTCCAGGCTGTTGTCGAAGTTACTGGCGGAGATTTGATCGTAAATTGGATCCAACGAAAGTCCTCTGACGATGTATGTCACCCAAACAAACGAAGTGACAGACGGAGAGGCTCGAAAACTTTGGTGACTAACCTGCTATTTCAATTTTTCAGTGTACCACATGGCAACAGCACTACTACTAGATTGTACCACATGGCAACACTACTACTGGATTGTACTAGCATTTTTACCAAATGTATTAGAATGTTTTGGTTCTATCTCTTTCACTCTACTCAAAACTGAAATGCATAAAAAAAATGACAAAATGATACACTCTTTGCACACTGTCAAAGAATCATTGTACACAAAATCAACTTTGTTCAAATCAAAACAAAAAAACTAACCCATCTGGTGGATGATGGCACAAGCTTCCAAGAAAATTCTATTACAGTGAACCACATTATTTCAATGGATTTCTTCGCCAGTTAGCCGTCTGTCACTTCGTTTGTGGTGATACCATTGTCTAGCTGCTCCTTCCAAACGACAAGAAGCATAAATCAGCGTCGTTTGATCTGTCCAGTGATACAAGGTTTTGAAATGGTTGACATTGGAGCACCATTTCCTGACATCTCTTCCACATGAAAACGTTGGAATCAATTTACTGACTTCATCCGGGTGCAACTGTCTTTCTCGATGTTCCTGATTATGTGGTTGCACTGCCACGTCAAGAATAAACAAAAATCGCCTCATCAGCGTCAGCAGCTCCCGCTCGCCCGTTTGCGCACCATGCGAACCGCTTGCACCGCCCAAAACACCGCCGCCGCCATGTTGTCCTCCTTCGTTTTCATCTCGCTGCACCAACTTGTCCTCATCGAATCCGTGAAATTCGTCGTCCGACATTTCAACAGAAACACTCGCGGATACTAATCCCACTTCTGAGAAAATTGTAGCCCGTAAAATTGAGACGTTTCTCAATTTTTGCCGTCACCAACGTAAAATACGAAAAATATAAAACGCGTCTGAATTTTGCAAAGTGGAAGTATGGAATGTTTTATTATCTGAGTTTGGAGAGTTTTTCAGTTCGTTCGTAATCTACACAGTTTACACATTTCGTAGATAGTGGTAGGGATGTACATTAATTCGTTGTGGATAAAATGTAGTTGATCTATGCTAAGTAGTCTTGGGGTTATTAATTTTGGCCTACAGCTGTTAATTTAAATACTGCCATGCTTTCAATTTGACAGTTCTACAACTCGATTTGAAAGTTTCAACTTTTAAAAGTAGGGAGTGGGTAACTTTTGAATTGATAGTTTGATTACTTTTGTTTTGAAAGCTAGCCGCTTTCTACCAAAAAGAACCAATGCAAACTTTTATTTCTACTAATGGTTTTTTTAATTTTATTAACGATTATTTTTTGTGTGCAGTTACGCCAAATCTACGATCAAATGCATTCTCGCATAAACAACAACCATAAGAAGCGCCTAACCACCAATTCAGGATATCATCCCAACTTTATGAGGTATGGTCGTACAATCTACACAGCAAAAAAAAAATGTAATATCGATCAACGTAATTTAAGCTGATGTATGAAATAATGATGTAATAGCAAAAAGCAGATACAATATTACATCAATGGATGTAATTTTGTTCGCAAAATCGATGTACATCGTACAATGTGATATTACACAACCGATGGATTGACCTGGTTGCAGCAGTTTTGATGTAAATTTCAACAACTTTTTTTGCTGTGTATGATATCGTTAGTGTATGGTGTCCGTTTATTAGGGTTGTTTATTATTGTTGGTCTTGAGATAGGGAAAATTTTCCCCTACCTGCTAGGGCCTGTTCATAAACTACGTAGACAGTTTTTTGGGATTATTGACCCCCCCCCTCCCCCTGCGTAGACAATTGTCCATACAAAAAAATTAAAATTTGTATGGGCCGTGGATAATTGTCAACACCCCCCCCCCCTAAACTGTCTACGTAGTTTATGGACAGCCCCCTAGTGGTGTTAGCAACAATCAATACGAAACTAACGATTTTAAATTGGCTCACCACTTTAGTAGCCTATTGGTCCCAAGCAAACGATTAACGTACCCTATTCTAGTTGAAATTCTATTACTACACTATGTTTGTTTTGATTCGCTATGAAAGTTTGACAGATAACATCAGGGGTGTGTGGATTCATGCAGTACATGCAGGGGTGAGTGAAATACCTTGGGACTGTTTGGGACCGTTGTTCTGGTACTGAGTGAGCCAAAAATAATAATGATTTTCTTCGGGACCCAGTGGTCTTAGAGTTACCTCTATGGTGTTAGTTTAGCCAAACCGACGATCAAATGCATTGTTTACAAAAGCTGATACGTCCCTTTGAAAAATTAAAAGAGATTTTTTAGTTTCCACTGGTTGCTACACCGAAAAAAGTTTGCATGTAGCTTCCATTGGAAATGCACATGATTTTCATCCATAATCAATATTAATGTAATTAATATGAATTTCACATAACATTTATGCGATCCCATTAAATTTATGTGATCTTGCAAATGAATTTCATCGGCTTCATAAAATTCATATGATTTTGTGGTGGGATTTGCTGCTATGTGATCACCGGAAAGCTATGTGAAATTCACATGGATTTCATCCATTAGATATGTGATAATTATTTTGAGTGTACCCGCATAAACGCGAACCATAAATTGACCTTACCTAAAATGGTTAAAAATTGTTTATAATCCCTGCTAAACTTTAACTGAAATGGTTATGGAACTTTACATGAACGTTTAATGATAAAGTTTCAACCTTATGTATTATGGTTTTTTGGAACTGGACCTTACAAATAATGGGTTGTTAAGAACCATTACCATTCCAAAATCTTGTTTTCTCCATACATTTTCAGAAAGAGAACTATATAAGAACGTTTTTACTTATGATTTGAGAACATTAATGGTAATGGTTATGGTAGTCAGTAAGGTCCATTAATGGTTTTGTATTATCGCTCAACTTTACGTGGAATATATCGTGAATTGGTAATCAGTAAATTACAGGCAACCAATTCGCGATATATTCCACATAAAGTTGATCGATGTTGAAAAACCATTCGTGGACCTTACTGACTACCATAACCATTACCATTAAAGTTCTCAAACCATAAGTTAAAAGGTTCTAATATAGTTCTCTTTCCGAAAATGTATGGAGAAAACAAGAATTTGGAACGGTTATGGTTCTTAACAACCCATTATTTGTAAGGTCCAGTTCCAAAAAACCATAATACATAAGATTGAAACTTTATCATTAAACGTTCATGTAAAATTCCATAACCATTTCAGTTAAAGTTTAGCAGGGATTATAAACAATTTTTAACCATTTTAGGTAAGGTCAATTTATGGTTCGCGTTTATGCGGGTATCTCTCTTGTTTCGCGAACGGACTCCGCTCTCAGTTTTATTTGAGCACCACTACACTGAACCAAATTGTCCATACATCAATGTATGATTATTGCTTCACTTGAGCCCCATACGGATTATTTTTCTATTTGTGAAAGATTATCATTCTCTGATTCAGCTCTCAAAGCACAGAAGAACTGAATAGCATTATTTCTAAAACAGGATGATTTTCGTTCTGCACGCTGTAAACCATTAGTCATCCACGGAATCGAACCCAATCACGTTCTGTAGGAACTTGTGCAATTTAGGATATTGGCTCGGGTTGTTTGTGGCCTCAAAAAGCAGTTTGAAAATGTTGTCCAAAATCTGCTAAACGAGCTCATCAGCTGGTTGGTCTTGAAGATATCACTGGAAGATAAATTTGTTTTGTTAGAATCGTATTGGTTGAAACCAAGGACCTCCCTCCCAGTAGCTTACTGAAGTCTAGGAATTTGAATCAACCAGCGGATGTTGTTTTGATTACACGTTTCTGTCGATGGCCACTTGGCCAGTTTGTAAAACTCCACTCGTTCGGCGACTTGCCGTAGTACGAAAGAGGCAGTTCGGCGTTTTGGTACTTGCTTTCCTCAAAGTCGCTGACCACCTCCTCGAGGGGGGGCTGGATCGCGAAAAATCCATGGGCACTGAAGCATTCGAATCAAACGGGAACGGAACGAGTAGATATTTTTTTGCCACAATAATCCGAAAACTTTTTTCTCGTTCGCTTTTTGGTGACACTCCCCGTGGTATGCGAAAAAACTTTGTACTGCTATTCGAGAGAGACGCAACAAGCTGCGAAAAAATGGTTAGGCCAAAACGCAATGGGAGACTGAAACGATATGAAAATGAATCGTATGACAGTTGTTGTATGATTTTTGTTATGGGGTTAACTTGGATGATTTTAGTTCATTTCTGTTCTTGAATTCATTTATTGTTAATACCTTTCAAAATTTGAACGGTACTTCATTATGTGGTTGATGTTATTTCCTTTTATGATATGTATGATGAATCATCCCATTTAATGTCAATTATCAGTCAATCGGGTATCTCATATTATTTTCGATGTTAAAGAAATCGGATAGCTCTGAATTATTAATCATGTAATGACGACATGGTAAATTCGCTCAGTGTACCCGCTGGCCAAAATGGCCAAAATCAAACAAAGCTGTCAAAAAGCTTCTTCGCGGGTGAGTGTTGCGTTTGTGGTCGGTTTTGTAACATTTTATTTTTATCGCGAAATCGTGTGATAACTATTGGAAAACCGGACATTATTGCTTGTTTTGTTCAATTGTATAGTAATTTTATTTTCTTTATGGTTTTAAAATGATTTATTCTCTAATGGCTTCAAATTTATCGAAAAAAATTCGACCCCTTCGTCGTTTACTTACAGCGTCTGCGTCGTGTATTGTTTTCCGGGAACCGTTCGCTGTCAGGGTAAGCGTACAATTTAGGGTTGTAATTGGAAAATAATAATTAAAATCTTTGCTCTACAGAGAACCTATTCGATCATCAGTTGTGCGATGGACAATTTCAAACGTAGACGCTTGGAGAACGTTTGGCATCAGCCGCCGCCGAGCCTGGCTGGGTTGCAACAACAAGAGCAAAATGCTTACAGTTCCATTCGGAAGGCCAACTGCGGTGAGCTTCGAGAATCCAACCATGGACAGCTGTTTGAATTGAGCGGAAAAGTGGCCGAGAACCGAATGGGGAAGTTTTTGGATCTGCGTGACGTGCACGGGTCGGTGCAGCTTGTGGCCAACAACAGTCAGCTGCAACGGCAGGTGGCTCACATAGGAAAGGGTAGTTTCTTATCGATCGTTGGACGGGTGCAGGAGCGGCCGCAACGGTGGAGGAATCCGGCCTTTGCAACTGGTGGAATTGATGTTGTAATTGAAGAAATTCTTCAGGCTGATGGTGGCATGCCAGATGCGCCAAAGAAAATTGATTTCAGTAAGCGTTACTACTCGACCTTGGCAGCTCCAGCGGTGGCTAGAGGAGTGACCATACTGGAGATTGAAAAATCCAGGACGGAAAGTTTATTGAAGTACTTCAAAAATCGAAAATACGCTTGCAGTGAGTTTAGGCTAAAAGACGTTGGAAGGAAGGTCGAATTAGTTGGATGGGTTGATGCCAAAAAGAGACATGATCGGTTTCTTCTTCTCCGCGACGGGCATGGAGAGGTTCAACTGATGGTAGAAAATGTACCTCAACGAGTCAGAGATGCCATTCAATTGCTACAGGATAGCAGCATCGTTTCAGTATCGGGAACAGTCATGGCCCGTCCAGCTAGCTGTGTCAATCCAAATTTGGGAACCGGAACGGTTGAAATAGTTCTAGATGATTTCACGGTTTTGGATCCAAATGAACCGTACAATGGTCCGGAATTGGAACAACCGTCGACATCTTCCGAAGAGGAGTTTTCTACCAATCGGTTTACAAATCGAACGCACAACTGTGGTGAATTAAGGCTCACTCACGTGGATCAAGAAGTGGTGCTTTGTGGATGGTTGGAATTTTCCAGGTTGAATAAATTTTTCACACTCAGGGATGGGTACGGAAGTACTCAGATTTTCATTCCGGATGAACTGGCCTCCGAGGTAAATCTGAACAGTATTCCTTTCGAGAGCATACTAAAAGTCGAAGGAAAGGTAGTTATTAGACCCAAAGGACAGGACAATCCTCGATTGCCCACCGGGGAAGTCGAAGTTGTTCTTGGGAAGGTGGAGGTTTTAAACGAAGCTAGAACTCGACTGCCCATCGATCTTAAAGAACATAACAAGGCAAAGGAAAATTTGCGACTGGAACATCGATACATTGATCTCAGGAGTTCGCAGCTGCAGCGCAACCTCCGACTGCGGTCACAGATCATCATGAAGATACGGGAATATATGATCAACAAGTGTGGGTTTGTGGAGGTGGAAACTCCGACACTTTTCCGAAGGACACCAGGGGTAAGTTGCAGATCTCGGTTGATGTTATCAGTGGAAATGTAATGTATTATTTTTTTTATTTCATCGTAAAAGGGAGCCCAAGAGTTTGTTGTGCCGACGCGTAAGCCAGGTCACTTCTATTCATTAGTGCAAAGCCCACAGCAGTTCAAACAAATGCTGATGTCCGGGGCGATCGATCGATATTTCCAAATTGCTCGCTGCTACCGGGACGAGGCAACGCGACCCGACCGGCAGCCCGAATTTACCCAACTCGATATCGAGTTGTCCTTCACCAATCGAGACAATATCATGTCCCTGTTGGAGGGATTACTGGCCAGCTCATGGCCGGCAGCTGATGATCCCCTGAAGGTTCCGTTTCAGCGGTTGACATACGATGAAGCCATGAATCGTTTTGGATCGGATAAGCCGGATACCAGGTTCGGTTACGAGCTGCAAGACGTCACGTTCAAGGTGGTGCACAACGCTAAACTGCTACTGGGATACGACCCACAAGAGTATAGTGCTTATGTAATTGTTGCCAAAAGTCCCCACAGTGGAACGCCAACATCGCTAAAGAAAACGCTGGATAGCATTTCGAAGGAGCACAAAAATTGTCGATTTGTGTTGAGCAGTATTACAGATGTAAGCGTTGCGAAGATTAACCACTGGTTGAAACTGACGAATTTTCAAATTTCAGAACTGGTTGGAGTCATCAATCATTAACCTGCTGACTGACGATGTTGCCAAAATTCTCAAGCAACATTTATCACTTAAAACAGGAGACTTACTCCTTTTGGGCTTCGGGAAACGGATAAATACGGTTCGATTTTTACATCATTTTAATTATCACCTGTAACTTTCAACCCATATTCCTTTCTCCAACAGCAAGAAATGATGGGCCGCATCCGGTTGGCATTTTACGAAAGCTTGGAAAGCCGCACCCTGGTCGATAAACGTTCCTCTACCGAACAAAACTTCCTCTGGCTCTACGATTTTCCCATGTTCGCTGCAAATGAGGAAACCGGCAAGTTGGAAAGCGTTCACCACCCCTTCACGGCACCGCATCCGGATGATTTGGAAAAGCTACGGGAAAAGGTTCAACTCGAAAAGATCCGTTCGCAGTCGTTCGATTTGGTTTGGAACGGAGTAGAGATTGGCGGCGGGTCGGTTCGAATCCACAATGGCCCACTGCAGAAGATGGTGCTGGATGAGGTTCTACAGATCGAACACTCCCATCTTCAGCACTTGCTCGATGCGCTGGAGTGTGGCTGTCCACCGCATGGAGGATTCGCCGTGGGATTGGATCGTTATATTGCGTTGCTCTGTAGTGCCCCGTCCATCCGGGATGTGATTGCATTCCCCAAGTCTTCAGAGGGAAAAGATCCGCTGTCGAAGGCGCCAGTGCCGATTAGCGAAGAGGAGAAGAAGCTGTATCACATTTCGACAGCTGACGCTATGGAAGGCTGAGGACAGGAAGTCGTTGCATTTAACCAAAGTATGTTAGTATGTAATGGCAACGTGGGTGAGTTGCCGAAATATAATATGATTACTCAATGGATGTAATTGATGTGGTACCTGATGTTGGTATCGGAAAGTAAGCATGATTATATTGTCTCGTGTATTATCCGAAATGTTCATACCTATAATACGAGCAGTAGTATTCCGAATTCAGAATCGATTAAGATGATCAAACTTTCCGGTTCGCTACGTTAGTTGATATCAGCTGTCGCAAGACGATAAAAACCGTGAAGCGCAGTAATTTCGCTCCGATAATAAATTGTTTAAAATGAACTAAACGTTCTTCTAAAATGTCTAAACCAAAAACTAAACTAAACTTTCTCCACCAGGTCTTGCTGTTGGTTTGCCTGTGTAGTAGACTGATGCAAAATTTGAAATCTTCGCTCCACAGTGCTTAAACGGTTCCAAATTGGGTCCTGCTTAGCCTCCCAAAATTTGAACTACTTTTGTAAGAAACTGACTTGGCACAAACCATTTCAAGTTTACATGGGAATTAGTATGGGAAAACTTATGTTTTTGTTGATATCTATCTAACAATTCACCATATCACTATGCTTTTAAAAATAATAGCAAATAGCAGTGATTGTAGCAAATTTTCTCAGCTACAACTTTGTTGAAAACCACTTTTCAATCAAATGTAAGGAACAAAAGTTATTAATGATTCAAGTCACTGATGTCTTATGATTATGCTCATTCAACTGTTCATCAGGCAACATTGGTGTTTCTGGTGCGAAGAATAGAGCACAAATATCATGGCCAAGGTGACTACATATAGGTGTTCTAATGTGTCAAATTCACGATTCAGCCATGTTGGATTTTTGTATGGGACAGCGACTGAGTTTGTTTACAATTTGCTCTAAAACCGCACTTTTCCCCCCCGCGGCCACCATGCCTATATAGTGACAAAGCTGTATCACCATTTATATACCCACCATGATCATGTCACACTGCAGAATACAGTGTTGCCTACAGAACAGCTGCTTGATCACGCCATAAGATTATCAATCTCTTAAACAATTAATAACAATTTAATTTGACATTTGGCTGAAAAACGATATTGGGCAAAGTTGTAGCTTAGAAAATTTCCCGTAATAATAGTTATAGAAATTTTCGAAAAAGCAATATGGAAAATGGGGAGAAACCAATAAACAAAAAGTTTGGTTTTCCCATAGTAATTTCCATACAAACTTTGAATAGTTTGTGCCAAGTCAGTTTCTAACCAAATGAGTTTACATTTTGGGAGGCTAATCAAGAACTGATTTGAAACCGTTTGAGCACTGTGGAGCGAAAATTTCAAATTTTGCATCAGTCTTCTGTAAACATTTGGCACATAGGCCCTGGTCACATGTTGCTCTAGCATGGTCAAGTTCGAGTGATAGAAAACATCATTTTAAACTGCTCGAATGATATGATAAATGGATCACCGCTTCGAGCAGTTTGAAATTACGATTCGAACTTCACTACGAAGCAATAGTATGAGATTTGATCTTCTGGAACTTTGAGAAAAAAGGATTTTATTTATGCCAGGCCTAAACATACTGAATATATTGCCCAGAGCGTAACATTACAGGAGTGGAACTTCGGATCAGAAAGTTACTCCACTTGTCATTTGCGAACGCTAGCGCACCTAGCGGTAGAAGGCATCTTCTGCCTGCAGTTAAGATAGGCAGTATGATATGATAGTGTGAGTGCACATAGAAAGCCCGTGTGGAACGCTACCACAACACATCGCTTGTTTAGCAGAAAAACGAACCACTTTTCGATTCAACGATTTGTTTACACTTCCCCTTCTGTTCTGTGGTAACATTATTGACTGCTTAGGCTGAGTAATAGCTTTAAATTATATGTTTATCCTTGATTTGTTTTCCATGGCTCTTGTTTTCCGTATTGAGTTCCAATGCTACCGACGCCAGGGAAGCAAAGTACCCACATCTGAACCCTTCCTATCGACCGATTAACTCATGGGCCAGGGACCAACGGCCGAAAAAAGACGTGATCAGAGATTTTATGCCTCAGAAAATCGCGGCGGAATTGAAACCAGGCCCTTTGGGAGGCAATCACGCTTACTATTACCACAGACAAACAGACGTAACTCTTCATTGTGTATCTTCGTTCACGCATTTAACGGTTTATTTGAATATTATCAGTTCCGCGAACTATTCGCCGCAGCGCTGGCATCGGATCACTTTGACGTTTCTATACATTCTATAGAACTTTTATGCAATATTGTTTGCGAGTTAGCGAGCAAGCTTGTTTTCCGCGAGAAGCCAGAGAGATGTCGTTACTGAGGACCTATGTTTTGAGATACTATGTTTTCAAGAAAAACTTTTTCAAAGTGTTACGTCTGTTTGTCTGTGCTACTACACCACCGGCGCCGCTTACCCTTAAATTATAAACACCTTAAAGTTCTCTGGACTGCCCTGAATTTCTCAGTATTTTTTATAAGAACTCGCAATTTTAATAAAAATAATTCTATTGCCTTAAAGTGTCCACCATTTTCCTGAAGTTTATAAATTATCGGATAAATTATCGGATAAATTATCGGAATATCCCATAATTCAATAAAAACTCATTGTAAGCTGCAAATTTCCTTAAGTTAATGGGATTGTTTTGAAGTTATCTGATCGTCCTCGAAGTACTCGGAATTTAGCTGAATCATGAAACTGTCTAAAAATATCTAAATTTGAAGATATCGGGGCTTTCTATAAGTTCTCCCATTTTTTTTTCAATTGATGGAGCTTCGTTGATGTTCTATAATGAACTTAGCTAAATTTTGGAAATATTTTGAAGTTCTTGACATTTCCACATTTGACATTAAAATACTCTCACATTTTCCGAAGGTTCATATAATTTCTATTGCGTTCTAGAAACTGTCCCGGAGCTTTGATAAAGTTTCCAGAAATTCCATGAGTTATTCGAAATTTCTTTAAGGTTCCAGCAATTTCGTTGAAATTATTTGATATTCCTTGATTTGTCTTGATGTTCTCGGAGCTTCCCAGCAGCTCTCAATTCTATTGAAGATCTTGGTTCTGCTATGAAATAAATGAAATTCTCGTAAACTCATTTGAACTTTCCTGAAATTATCTGGACTTCTATTTAGTTTCTGAAATATTTCTGAAGTTTTCATAAAGTATCTGAAGGACTTTGTTCAGCTCATCATGGAACTAAAATAATTTTTTAAACTCCAAAAGTGTGAACTAAAGTTACGGAACTGCCCTTAAGATCTCTGAAATTCTCCAAAGATCTCTAGATCTAACTTTTTTGAGGTACTTAGAACTTCTTAAAAGTTTACACAATTTTCCTGAAGCCCTCTATGTTTCTGAAGTTCTTTTGACACCGGTGAAGTTCTCAGAAATTCTATGAACTTCTTAAAAGTTCCTATAGTTTTTCGGAAGCTAATAGAACCGCTTTGAGGTTCTTAAAGCTTCCAGTAAGTTCTCCATATTTTCACGATGTTTTTTAAATCCAGTTCGGTTATTTGAAAGGCTCAATCGCGTTAGCTTTAAGGAGCCGGTAATTCACTGTTTCGTAACTAAATTTACTTAATTCTAGGTCTAGTAGGAGATATTGAGAATGTTAACTTCACTTAAAGATTGTTCTCGAAAAAAATGCAACACTTTCTTTTGTGTATAACTTTTTATTGCATGGGTAAAATCTAATTTTGAGTAAACTAGTTTAGAGTGTAATATTTACATGTGCAAAATCTCGGCACAAAATGTCAAGTGGTTATCGAGATAGTTACCAAGCAAGAAGTGCTTCGACAAAAAATTATGGGAGCGGTAGTGGAAAATCCAGGCCAGTTCCACATGTGGATCGCGAAACAATTTGGAATCGACAATTCAACCGTGTCCCGTGTGGTAAAATCGTTCAAGGAAACCCAAACGTCCCAGCGGCGAGCTGGCAGTGGTAGAAAAGCGAAAACGAGGGATCACTTCAAGCGCAATCCGATCTTTTCGATTCGGGACGTGGCCAAGAAGATTAATTCTTCCGTCTGGTTCGTCTAGTAGACAATGAAGCGGGCCGCAGTTAATGTCTTCAAGGTAAGGAAGGTGCCTAACCGATAAACAGAATTCGGTGGCCAAATCCAGCGCCAGAAAGCTGTACCGCGAGTGGTTGGTGCAGCCGAAATGCATCGTAATGGACGATGAGACGTACATTAAAGCAGACGCCAAGCAGATCCCCGGCCTGGAGTTTTTCGTCGGCAAGTCCCGCCTGGATGTTTCGGAGAAGAAGGTTGACAAATTTGCCAAGAAGTACTTAGTGTGGCAGGCGTTTCAGCAAGCCGTGCATAACGACCGGCACCATCAACGGCCAAATATATAAATAACAATGCCTCCAGAAGCGCTTGATGTTCTTTCTCCGGTCCCACGGAGGTGACACTCTGTTTTGGCCGGATCTAGCATCGTACCATCACGCGAAACCGGTGATGGAGTGGTACGAAACCAACAATGTTGGCGCCAGAACTTCGCCCAATAGAATACATTATGAAGGGCAAGCTCCGTAAAACAGGAAAGGTCTTGAAAAACAACAAGGATTTGAAGAAAGAGTGGATGAAAGTGTGTAAGAAAGATGGCGTAAGTGTTGCACAGGATTTGATGGGTAGCGTTAAGTGCAAGATGCGGGCTACAAAATGGTGAGTTGACAACCTGGAAGGAGCGGAATACCTAGCCCTGGTCCTCACAAGATCCTACTTCACGCCTCCTCGAGTCATAAGATAACAAAAGACTACCAGCTGAAACATGGACACAGCTGGGTGGCGTAGCCTGGGCAATGTTGCCAGTCCGGCAATTGCAAAGTGAAGAGGTGCGACGCGAACACTGGCACGGTAACCATAGTACCAACAATCAATACGAAACTAACGATTTTAAATTGGCTCACCACTTTAGTAGCCTATTGGTCCCAAGCAAACGATTAACGTACCCTATTCTAGTTGAAATTCTATTACTACACTATGTTTGTTTTGATTCGCTATGAAAGTTTGACAGATAACATCAGGGGTGTGTGGATTCATGCAGAACATGCAGGGGTGAGTGAAATAGCTTGGGACTGCTTGGGACCGTTGTTCTGGTACTGAGTGAGCCAAAAATAATAATGATTTTCTTCGGGACCCAGTGGTCTTAGAGTTACCTCTATGATAGTACGGTGATAGAGGAAATGCTTCACCAAACCTGAGCGTCTGTTCATCATGGAGGTGCGGCTTAAAACGGCGTCTGTTCTCCATGTTAGGAGCCGTTCTAGTGCCAGCGTGGGACTCTAAACAAAGCTGTGCACGATGGTCCCCCGGCGAGACAGGGGGTTGGGGCCGGCCCAACAAGCCGCTCTGAAAAAAACATAAAGTTGCAAATACTCAAGAAAGAAATACGGATCGGAAAAATCGGCACTGACCAACGCGACGAAATAAGGACTACGATTGGAAACTCGGAACATGGAACTGCAAATCGCTCGGCTTCCCGGGTTAATCTATGACGAACTTCAACCACGCAACTTCGAAGTCGTAGCACTGCAGGAACTTTGCTGGACGGGACAAAAGGTATGGAAAAGCGGGCATCGAGCGGCAACTTTCTACCAGAGCTGTGGCACCACCAACGAGCCGGTAACCGGCTTTGTAGTGCTGGGTAAGATGCGCCAACGCGTAATTGGTTGGCAGCCGATCAACGCGAGGATGTACAAGTTGAGGATTAAGGGCCGTTTCTTCAACTACAGTATCATCAACGTGCACTGCCCACACGAAGGAAGACCCGACGACGAGAAAGAAGCGTTCTATGCACATCTGGAGCAGGTGTACGACGGCTTTTCGCAACGGGACGTCAAAATCGTCATCGGCGACATGAACGCTCAGGTAGGACGGGAGGCAATGTATAGACCGGCAATCGAGCCAAACAGCCTGCATGCCGTATCGAACGACAACGGCCAACGATGCGTGAATTTTGCAGCCTCTCGGGGTATGGTAGTTGAAGGACCTTTCCCCCCCCCCCCGCAAGGATATCCACAAAGCCACCTGGAGATCACCTGACCAACACACAGAAAACCAAATCGATCACGTTCTAATAGACGGGAAATTCTTCCCCGACATTATCAACGTCTGCACGTACCGCAGTGCGAACATAGATCCGAACCACTACCTAGTTGCAGTATGCATGCGCTCAAAACTCTGGACGGTGCATAACACACGTCGAAGTCGAACGTCGCGACCCAACATTGAGTAACTACGAGACACCGGAGTTGCCCAGGACTACGCGCAGCAGCTGGAAGTTGCACTACCCACGGAAGAGCAGCTTCTCTTGAAGATGGCTGGAGGGACATCCGTTCAGCCATAGGTAGTACTGCTGCAGCGGCACTAGGTACTGCAATCCCGGACCGAAGAAATGACTGGTTTGACGGCGAATGCAAACTGTTAGTAGAGGAGAACAATGCAGCACGGGCGAGAATGCTGCAACACCGCAGGAGATTGAATGTGGAGCGATACAGACAAGCGCGGAACAGACAAAACTCGGTTTTCCGAAGAAAGAAGCGTCAGCAGGAAGACCGAGATCGCGAGACGATGGAAAATCTGTACCGCGTAAACGACACACGGAAGCTCTATGAGAAGCTAAATTGTTCGCGCAAAGGCTACGTGCCGCAAGCCGATATGTACAAGGACTTGGACGGTAACCTTCTCACGAACGAGTGTGAGGTGATTGAGAGGTGTAAGCAGTACTATGACGAGCACCTCAACGGTGAAGCAGCAGAAAACGAAGGTGGCACGGCAACAGACCTTGGACGACAGGCTACCGGCCCCTGATCTTCAAGAAGTTGAGGAGGAGATCGGTCGGCTGAAGAACAACAAAGCAACTGGTGTAGATCAACTACGAAGTGAGCTATTAAAATACGGTGGTGAAGCCCTGGCTAGAGCGCTGCACTGGGTAATTGCCAAGATTTGGGAGGAGGATATATTACCGGAGGAGTGGATGGAAGGTGTCGTATGCCCAATCTACAAAAAGGGCGACAAGTTGGATTGCTGCAACTACCGCGCGATCACACTGCTGAGCGCCGCCTACAAGGTACTCTCCCAAATTCTATGCCGCCGTCTGTCACCATTTGCAAGAGAGTTCGTGGGGCAATACCAGGTGGGATTCATGGGTGCCCGCGCTACCACCGACCAAATTTTCGCGATTCGGCAGGTTCTGCAGAAATGCCGCGAGTACAACGTGCCCACACATCATTTGTTCATCGATTTCAAATCCGCATACGACACAATCGATCGAGATCAGCTATGGCAGATTATGCACGAGTACGGACTTCCGGATAAACTGACGCGATTGGTCAAGGCGACGATGGATCGAGTGATGTGCGTTGATCGAGTAATGGGGACACTCTCGAGTCCCTTTGAATCTCGAAGGGGGTTACGGCAAGGTGATGGACTTTCGTGTCTGCTGTTCAACATCGCCTTAGAAGGTGTGCTCAGAAGAGCTGGGATAGACACGAGTGGCACGATATTCAGGAAGTCCATCCAGCTCCTTGGCTTCGCCGATGCCATTGACATTATGGCACGGAACTTTGAGATGATGGCGGAAACGTACATCAGACTGAAGGCTGAAGCTAGACGGATTGGACTTGCCATCAACGCATCAAAGACAAAATACATGAAAGGAAGAGGTTCTAGGGAAGACAATTTTAGCCTCCCCCCCCCCTCCGAGTTCAGATTGACGGTGACGAAATCGAGGTGGTCGATGAGTTCGTGTATTTTGGCTCACTGGTGACCGCCGAAAATGATACCAGCAGAGAAATTCAAAGACGCATTATGGCAGGGAATCGTGCGTACTTTGGACTCCGGAGGACGCTCCGGTCGAATAAAATTCGCCGCCGCACGAAGTTGACTGTCTACAAGACGCTGATTAGACCGGTGGTCCTCTACGGTCACGAGACCTGGACTATGCTCGTGGAGGACCAACGCGCCCTTGGTGTTTTCGAACGGAAGGTGTTGCGTACCATCTACGGTGGAGTGCAGATGGATGACGGAACGTGGAGGAGGCGAATTAACCACGGATTGCACCAGCTGCTGCGAGAACCATCCATCGTCCACATTGCAAAAATTGGGCGACTACGGCGGGCTGGGCACGTTGTAAGAATGCCGCACGACCCAGTGAAAATGGTTCTACAAAGCGACCCAACAGGAACAAGAAGAAGAGGCGCGCAGCGGGCAAGGTGGATTGACCAAGTAGAAGGTGACCTGTGAACTCTTCGCAGACTACGAGGCTGGCGAACTGTGGCCATGGATCGAGTAGAGTGGAGACGACTTCTTCGGACAGCAGAGGACAATAAGGCCTTAGGCTGATTGGTAAGGTAAGCGGGTATTTAGCCTAGGAGAGGAGGTTGAATAAACCAACTTTGCAAACAATAGCTAACATGTGCTTATTTATTCCCTGAGAGTTTCAAAAATATCCGACTTACAATGAAATTTGGTGATCATTTTGGCTGCTACATTTTTTTCGAGTACAGTCTTTATGTTTTCGCAGTTTGTTTATGAAGCTTAACTGAAATTATCAGCATTGCGTTTCATTCCTCAGAACTTCTGTAATGTTCCTACAATTGTTGTGAAGCTAATGGGACTTCACTGCAGATCTCTTATCTTTCAAAAAGTTAATTACAATCTTCAAAAAAATAAAAAAAAATCCTTAATTCTGGCACTTTGAAAATTTCCAATAACTTGAACTTGTTCGTGGAACACGAAACATCACAACATTGAATTTTTTTTAGGTCTTAGATTTACCAAAATTAAGAAAGTTTTTTTTTTAATTTTTTATGAAGGTGGTTTTTAGCCACTTCTGGACTAGGTTCATCACCACTAATTAAGTATGTTTTAAATTTCAACATTTAATGGATTTGATTGTAAAGCACTTTCTTTAAAACTGATTGTCATGTCTTAAAAACTTTTGCGTTAATTGCTATTGTTGTTGTATTACCAAAAAATAAGCATATTTTTGAGCGCATTTATCAAAATTATTATGAACGTGGATTATCCGTTGAAGTTCTGGAAAAAGGCAAGAAAAGGCGACTAGTGATTTGGCCTGAAAAAGGAGACATTTTAGTGACTGGCTTGATAAAAGTGATCAAGTCACTAAAAAGTGACTCGCTATCAGCCCTGCTTTATTTTTACAGACTCAATCAGGATTTATCGTTAGCTCTAATTCTAGATGTATTGCTTCCTCCTAAATATAAGACAGGATGTTTCTCTTTAAACATTTTAGGGCTATTTATAGGCACCAAATACGTTTATTTTCCACAAAAATATTTTGTTTTATTAAAAAATAAACGTACAGAGAAAAGGCTTACCAGCTATTAGAAAAATGCATGACATAACATGTGATGTATGGCTTTCAGACACGTGATGTTCGCGTACCGTCGTTCCAATCTACTTTTTATTATTTTAGTTACCGATATGTATCGTTTGTTCGTTTCCAGCTAGAATGTTCGTCGCTCGAACATTTGTCTAATTATAAGTAGCACTGTTGGTGGTTGATGCTCTTCATCCATCCGTCGAATCATACCAGCACCTCGTTGTAGTGCGTAATCACGTAATCGTGGTAGTACATCATAATCGCCAACGGTTGACCGAGAATGATTGACGCCCACACGACTATGTTTCCGCAGCGGGCTCCGTACTGTTTTTCCATGAATCGCGACACGAAAGAGAGCGGTATCTGAGCCATCATACCCATGAAGGCCCAAATTTTGAATGTCTTCAGCGGTACGCTAACCAGGTACTCGTGGAAGAAGGCACTGATGAAGAATACGAACACCGATGCGGAGATCTTGGAGTAGCCCATCTCGACGACCGGGATGTACAGATGTCGTACGCACCACCTGGAATTCAGGGACTCAGTTGGAGTTGGATGGCATAGAAGAGAAATTGATTTTAATCATACTTATGAACTGGCATATTCCAAGTCCTCCAGAACGTATCGATGTTGTTGGCGTTCCACCAATCGCTGTAGAAGTTGCGGTCGGAGAAGTGAAGCAGTTCTCCCATGAGGTTCAGGAAGGAATGGAAGGTCAGATAGAAGAAACAGAGCCACATCAAGTGGTTGGGAATCTGTAAAATAGGTAAAGTGTTGAGTTCTTTACATTGCAAGGACGTCTATGTTTCGAACATACCGCCAATTTGAGCAACCGCTCCGTCGTCTTGGTCAGATCCATGTTGGAGAATGGAACCAACGAGTTCTTCACCGAGGGAATCATCCACTGTTGGAACAGCCCCATGACGATGTGCACTCCGATGACCACTTCAAGAATCCGTTTGATCAGGAAGCGCTTTCGGATGCGAGAGGTACGTGGGAAGTTCAGTTCGTAGCAGAGCGTCGGTGCCAACAGGAAGTAGAACAGATCCTTCAGATGTAGATTGTCCGGATAGTGTACCAGCTGCGGTACTTTGTCTTTCACGGCACCAGACGCCACGCCGTTTCCATCGCCGTAGTGTTCACGTTCGTTTTCTAGTGATAGATCGCGGGGAAGAAAAACAAACCGGTAAGTGTGCAATTTGTATTAATTATACTAAATTAGCAACGGGTGTTTGCAACTGGCGAGACTAGACTGTGCGCCTTACTTACGCAGTTGAGCTACGGAAATGCTCTGTCGGCGACCGGATCGGTTCCTGCGTTGTTTGTGTCGGGTGCGACACCACAGGTTCACCTGAACGTAGCTCCACATCTTCAGGAACAGGATGCAATAGATGAAGCAAACCGTCATGGCGCCAACTGAAAATTGAAACATGTGTTGAATAACCTGATGTCAACGGTGCTACGTCGTAAATATCAAGTGTAAGGCTGCTCGGTCGCTTGCTTTGTGTAATTAAGCAATCTCCTACGTGATCACGCCGGTATTGAAGGTGATTAATTTACTAGCTAAAACAGCACTTACCGAGACTGAATGCTTGCCCTTTGACGTGTATCACCACCATGGGAATTAGCACCAGCACGAGGATGTTGACTACGTGCACTACCATGCCGGCACTTTCCATCAGCACATCGGATGCCAAACCTTTCTCCACCATCAAACATATCACTATAGGAACTATCGAGTCTGTAATTAACGAAAAAATCAAGGGTCAATAATACTTTCCTGTCACGAAAATTGCATCTTCACTCACACAAAACCAACAGCAACGAAGGATATCCCTGGCCCTCATTTCTTCCGGTGAGCACTACGAACCACTGGACCGGATCTACCCGGATACCGTATCTGGCAAGATCGAAAACAAGCATAAGAACCCGCACATAATCTGGGGGGAGTAAATTAGCTACGTACTTTATAAAATTTTCCAACACTAGCCGAAAACCTCCCATCGTGAGCAGTAGAAAGCCCCAATTGACAAGGCCGGTGAAATTGTCGAAGCCCGAGCTCCAGGAGAACAGCGAATCCCGCGGCCGGTGGCATCTGGAAGATGTGAGTAAAAAGGAGAGAAACGATAATGGGTTAGGTTCCTGGAAGGATAAACGTTGTATAAATGGGACATGTTCATCGTTGCATGCTGACAAGATGGGGATCAATGGGGGCAATGATGAAGATTTGCTTGTGTAAAATGGATGTACACTTTTCGGGTTTCAAGAATTAAGTATTAGAGGTGGTCCAACAATGATGTTCACTCTTGAGAAGGGGGGGGGGGGGGAGAGTATAGAATTTGTGACAGTAGTTGGAATTTTGGAAAAGTGAGAGTGGGTTTAGGCGCTTCTTCTTCTTCAAGAACTCCATATTAAAACATCCCCGTCTTGTCTTAGATAAATGTATAGTAATACCCTGTAATACTCATCAACATGTAACATCAGAAAGCTAGAATCCCGACACGAGGAACTAAAAGATATTCGTCATTCTTGGGACTATTTATGGTGACCAGAGATTCTTGCACCAGAGCTTCAGAAACTAGGGACTTAAAGAATTAAATTACTACAATTTCTGAAACATTAAATACTACAATTTCTGAAAGCCTTCAGTGTTCCAGTAGTACCCTGCTCTCTGATCTTAAAGTTTTGTTTGGCTTCTTAGGTTCCGGAAGTTTCTGGAAATTACAAACTTTATGATACTCTGGAGCTTCCTAGAATATCTACTTCCACAAAAATTTCCGGTTTTATCTTTAATTATCAGAGTTTGTCATTGATTATCTTCAGTTCTCGGAGCTACTGAAGTAAAAGAAATAGAAGCAGTGCCGTGAATTCCACAAGCTGGTCTCCGGGAAAATCCGTAAAAATACCAATTTATGGAACTGACCCTACAGCCCCGACATTCGTTCGAAATCACTTGTATTTGTGTTATTAAAATTAATTTAAACTTGTGAAATGAATATTTGATAACTAATTATAGATCAACATTAAGAGTGGTCATGGGCCCCACTTGTAGTTCTAAATGGCGCCGAGTTGTGACCTGAATATAAGCTCTGGAAATCAGTGGATTAGTTCTGAAGAAAACCTGAAAAATCCTTTTCTGCGTGAGTTTCAAATTTTTTCTATTTAAATTCGAATTTCAAATACACTAATTTCAAAGGTTCTGCTTGTTGTAAAAATTTCCCGATTAGCGATTTCCCGGAATTTTGGAAATTTTCCCAGTTGTACGATATAATATTTGCATAACATCAAAAGCCGGTTAAATAGGCCCTTAGTAAGACAGCTACTTTTTTCCTGGGACAAATTTGACTCTGCGTTCGCTCAATGCTGTTTAATTGGAATATTCTCAATCGTTTCGTTCAGAATCATTTCCTTTCACAGAGTTTATTTCAGAATTATTCTGAAATCAGTTTCAGATTCTCTCTGGGAGCACCTTGAAAATATAATTACAACAGTCCAGAAATTATCTGCAGATCAATATAAATAAAAATAAAATAAAATATTTGTTCTAATAATTACCTGAAGCTATTTCTATTCTATTTGAAATTCGTTTGTATTCACTTTAGAATTCCAGAGGAATTCACGTCAGAATTGTCTAGAAATATTGTTCAGAATTATTTTTGTTTGAAATAATTACTTTATTTTATTAAACAATTGAATAATCTTTACAGTCCCAAGATTTCTTGTTCACTATACAATACATCTTTAAACTACCCAAGTAATAATTCAAGCTGAACAGTATGAGCAGAAACTAATTATTGGTTGATTTAAGGTGTACAAAGCTGATTAACATCAGGCTGAATATATAGTTTATTAGTAGTACATGAAGCAAATTGTATCCCCATTATCTAACCTCAATAAGTTAGCTGATCTAAAGATTAAACAAGCCTAATTTAAGCTTAACACAACTCCTATAATCAGCAATGCGTTACACAATCCAGGTAACAATTTGATACTTAACAAGTGTTGTTTATTCGATTTTAATTCAGCAATAGATTGAATAATTGCTGTACATAGACCACGTTAACCTTTGTTCAGCTTTTAAACATCTAAATCTGGTGATTTTAATCAGCCAAAAGCTTAACAGTAATATACATTATAAGCTTTTTAAAGCATTAAATAACAGTATTTTCCAACCCTTGTTCAGTCTTCTAGTTTTATTTCAAAAATAATAATTGTAGACCGTATCTTATCCTATGAATTTATATGGAACTGCTTTAACTTGTTGCTGACTAATTGGATTTACATATTTATATTGTTAAATAAGTCTAAAAATTACCTTTGCACTTCGGGATTCGACCGGGCAGTCGCTGATTCACAGGCGTCAACCATATCTACTGGACCATTTAAGCATGTGTGTGGCAAAAGGTATGATCATTATCTTGAAGCACGTCAAATTTAAGTTGAATAACAGAAACCGGAAGAGTATTATACAGCAATGCAAATATAAACAACAACTGGTGACAGTAAAACATTCCTCTCATTTTCAAGTGCAGTTCAGTCTGAAACTTCAGTGCAATATAACTGACAAAACACAGAAATACAAATGTTAATACTTCCGACGTCGTCGTACCCCACATCTACCTAGAGTTATTCTTAAAAATCTCGTCTTCCTTGTCTCTACTGCTGTCACTGTTTGTAATTAGAAAGGTAGGCAGTGAATATAGAAGAACTTAATGCCGTAAATGCAACGAGTGACACAGACACTGACGATATTTAACAAATCAAGCTATCAAAATATCCCAAGTAACAATTGAAGCTGAACAGTAAGAACAGAAGCTGATTATTGGTTGATTTAAGGTGTACAAAGCTGATTAACATCAGGCTGAATATATAGTTTAATAGTAGTGCATGAAGCGAATTGTATCCCCATTATCCAACCTCAATAAGTTAGCTGATCTAAAGTTCAGAATTATCTTGCTCTAAATTCTTCTGAAATTATACTTGGAAGTTTCCATAAAATTCTTTAGAATTTTTTTTCGTGATGCCCTTGAAATTATCCTCGGAATTCCATTAAAATTATTCTAAGAATTCCTCTGGAGATGCACCCTTGGTATTTTTCACTGATCCTGGAAGCTTTTTAGACTTGGAATTCCACAGAGATGCTTAAACATTATATAGTACCCTGAGCTCACATAATTTACTTGGAGTTAAAGTCTAAACTTTTTTAATAAATTCTTTTAAAACAAGAGTGAATTTTCAAATATCCGTATCCGTATTCGTATCCATATTGTTGAAACTCTTCACTCGCCCACGTATGCTAACACCATCGTCATAAAGTTGGGGACACTGGGGTGTGTTAGTTTGCCAGATACGGCTATTTTTTCCTCGATTTGTTTTCCGTCGATCTTTTTTCCCGTACTGAGTTTAAATGCTACCGACGCTGCGGAGACAGCTCCCTACTTATTGACCCATCAACTCATGGACTGGGGACCAACCGCTTTGCATTCTTTCGTGATCAGAGATTTTATGACTGAGAAAATCCCAACGGCACCGACTGGGATTGAACACAGGCCCTTTGGAGTGAGATGTTATCACGCTTACCACTACACCACCGGGGCATTCAGTAGTTCGCCTGCTCGTGGTGTGCCCTGGAAACGTTAATTATCGAACCCAAGGGAGAGATATTGCGGCTAAACGAACTACCGCAGAGTAAGGACGCTGGAGCCCCATCCAGCTCGTCCCAGGAGGTTGATAAGCCCTGCACAAACCGTCGTTGTGCAAAGGCAGAAGTGGTTCTTAGAGTGCTTAGCACACGCAGCTAGTAAGCGGTCACATCTGTCCTGTTTGGCCCTGGACAGTTGGCTGGCTATCACGTCTGCACTAGAACTCAGGCGAACAACTAACAGCGATCAACAAGAGGAAAGCCCTGCACAGCTGCTCACTGTGCAGTAGCGAGTGTCACGTCTGACACAACACTTAGTGATGCGCCATAGCGCAACCGGCCCCCTCCCATGACGTAATGCTTTCGGGCGGTCCCGGGGAGGGCAAGTGCCTAGAGCACAGGGTAAGGTTTAGTGGGTCGGGAGTGCTTCTTCTCCCATCACAAGTCACAAATAGGCATATATTTTGAATAAATGCTTTATAACAGGGTACAATGCTGAATAAAACGGGTTGCCAAATTATGTGCTGAAAAAACCCCATTGAGATCGATAGATGCGCCTTTATTCCGCTGTTTGCTCTGATTTGATTAATATACTTATTTTTTTTTTTTTTCCTTTGGTTCGTTTTTTCCGTCGATCTTGTTTTCAATGCTGAGCATCAATGCTACCGACGTGCCAGGAAGGCAGCTCCCACACCTGGACCCTACCTATCGACCTATCAACTCATGAACCGGGGACCAACGGCTTTATTTCACATCCGAAGGAAGGCGTGATCAGAGATGTTATGCCTCAGAACATCCCGGCGGCGCCGACTGGGATTGAACTCAGGCCTGCTGGGGTGAGAGGTAATCACGCTTACCATTACACCACCGGCGCCGTTGATTAATATACTTATTAAAAGCTATACAAACGATGACTGTCTTGCTGATTCAACACCAGAAGTTTGATCTATTAACATACTGAATAAGTGTAATTAGCAGATACATTGACGCTTTAATTCGACTGTTTTCAACTGATTTAATAACATGCTTTACTATACGACTAATAGTTGTTTTTTAGCTCCATTGTATTGCTTAACAATATTGCTGAATAAAGGTGAATACAGTCAGCATAATAGCTCTTATACCACTATGCGTCCATGTTTTAATTACATGCTTTGTAATTGCTTTACAAATGGCGTATTCATTAATTATTCCACATGACTGTTTCAGGCTAACAACAAAACGAAATTGGTAACATAGTGACAACCCTTTTTTTTATTTATTTTCTACGCCTAATTAACTTAAATCGTAAACATTAATCGTATCACTCACGACAACCAATTCATCAATCTATCGAAAAGAATAGCCCAGTATCCTTTCCATCAATATTGGAGAGATGGAGAGGTAACATTGGTCTCATGTAAAACAACTATGAATTAATTAATCATTCTCACATCTTCTTGAATTAGCTAGAG